TAATGTGGGCCACCATAACATCAGTAACAGGTCAGTTTGAAACCAGACACTAACCTGTCAAAATTCAGTTCAATTTTGGGGTCTTTGTTTTTATCCTTGTGGTATCGAGTATTGAATATTTTCGGTATCCAGTTGAACATTTTAGTATCGTGACCACCCTAATGCGATGACATGTATTGCTTCTGGTTTTGCCCCCCCGGGTGGCAGGTTAGTCAAAGGGATGAACTTCTCGGTGGTGGTCTTCGACACGGCGCCCACGGGCCACACGCTGCGCCTGCTAAACTTCCCCACCATAGTGGAGCGAGGCCTGGGCCGCCTCATGCAGATCAAGAACCAGATCAGCCCCTTCATCTCTCAGGTGAGGACCGGGGGGAGCGTCCCGAGCCTCTTCTGTTCAGGACTGAGGTTTTCCATCACTCTGTTTGTCTCCCCTCGCCCCCTTTCTGTCCGTAGATGTGTAACATGCTGGGTCTGGGGGACATGAATGCAGACCAGCTGGCCTCCAAGCTCGAGGAAACCCTGCCGGTCATTCGCTCCGTCAGCGAGCAGTTCAAAGACCCAGTAAGTCCCGCACAGCGTTTACCATGGAAGCAGGACTCCGTAGGCCTGTTTGTCTTCTCTTTTTTAGCCCTTTGTACACGTTTAGGACTCGCATCTATCCATATTTATTAGGGATGGGACGGTTTATGAAAACCGTCCGAACCGTTGGGTTGGACTGTCTCGGTTCGGTTCATGCTGCTCCTTTTTCTCAGAGGGAAGTGTTTACACTCCAGAGCAGAGGGGGGCGCTACTGCGCCCAAAGCCAACCACCAGTAGGAAACAGGAAGAATAACTTAGACTTAGACTTAGACTTCCTTTATTGTCATTGTCAAAAACACGAGGTGAGTTTGACAACGAAATGTCAATTTCTTGGCTACCAGAGTAAAATTTTTAGCAACGAAACATCAATAAATATGTGTGTGTGTATGGGGGGGGGGTTATGTGGCGTTAAGTAGTCTGATGGCCAGGGGGAAGAAACTATTTAGTAGTCTGGTCGTTCTGCAGAAGATGCTGCGGAACCTTCTGCCGGACGCCAGGGGGGAAAACAGTCCATGGTTGGGGTGGGTGGGGTCGGAGAGTATCTGGCGAGCCCGGGAAAGGCAGCGCCTGTCCGCGATGTTCTGGATGCAGGGGAATGTCAAGCCAAGCAGCGTAGCCGATAATAAAAATCAGACGCGCCAACAGCAGTTTCTAGGTCTGCTGTATGGACCACTTTGCATTTAGAGGGAAGCACATGTTGGAATTAGCACTGTTTCCTCTCTTGCAATGCCAGAATCTCACCTACTTTAACCTAAGACTGTCACAATAATGTATCAAATGTCAGACTGCTTTTTTCTTTCAGTTTTAACCTGACTATACAAGACATAATAGATTTTCCTAACAATCAGCATATACCGAACCGGAAACCGTGAACATGAAACCGTGAATTGAACCGAACTGTGGATTTTGTGAACCGTTCCACCCCTAATATTTATCCGTTGTGTGTTGAGGGTGATTAAGTTGTATTCAGCAGGACTTAATGCAACTGGGGGTGTTTTGTTTATAGACTGCAAGAGTGAGTAAAGTTCGCCTTCTGTGAATGAAGCCATGTTCCTCAGACTGTGTAAATAGATACCTGTTTCTACACAACAGATCCAGATGAGCCCTGACTGGAGTCAGTTTTTAAGTCAGATGTACAAATTTAGCAATTTATAGAGGAATTGGACTCTAAAATAGGCTTGTCCTGATCCGATATCTGGATCGGATCAGATGCAGATCCAGACTCCAGATCCAGTTTTTTTTAAAGTCCGATCCCACATTAGCATTAGCATCTCCTAACCCACATGTCTGTGTCCTAAACATTAAGTTGTTATCAGAGTAAATCCCTGTTTTTCCCATGAGTCTGACAACTAAGTAAGTAGATAAATAACTTGAAACTTTAATACATGCTCTGATAGGCTGGGATCGGGTCGGATCAGAAGGGAAAAAAGCTGGATCGGGACATCCCTACTCTAAAATAAATTAATCAAGACGTGGATAACAGAAAACCTGGTGAACTGAGATGGCCTGGATGCTTTTCCTTGTGAAGGGATGGTGCCGACCGGCCGGGCTCCGTGTGAAATAATCCAACCCCCTTCGTTACGTCACAGCTTTACATAAGTGGCCTAACTAAACTCCATTTTCAGTTTTCTCTCTGAAAGCTAACCCAGTCAGCTGACAGAACCTTCAAGGGGGTTAAATTTATAAATCTGCCAGAGGGGCAGACGGATCACTCCACGCAGCAGAATGAGATCGAGTATTTTGTTGAAGGCTAAACAATAGTTGATCTTTTTTTATGCAACATTATGTTGTTTCCTTCAGTAACACTAAATCCACTAAAAGTAAACAGCTTGTTAGGTTTGATAAGGCTGTTCTAGGTGTTTAGGGTGCATTTGTTTCATGCTGTGTTTTCATGAGTTGCTACAGTTGGCAGGTAAAATGGTTTAAGATGAAGCTAGTAGTTACAGTTAGCAGGTAAAATGGTTTAAGATGAAGCTCAGTCAGATAAATCAGTTTTGAGATGCTACAGTTAGCAGGTAAATGGTTTAGGATTAAGCTAGTTGCCACAGTTAGCAGGTAAATGGTTTACGATGAAGCTCAGTAAGTTTTGAGTTGCTTCAGTTAGTAGGTAAAATGGTTTAAAATTAAGCTAAATCAGTTTTGAGTTGCTACAGATAGCAGGTAAAATGGTTTAAAATGAAGATAAATCAGTTTTGAGTTGCTACAGATAGCAGGTAAAATGGTTTAGGATGAAGGTAGTTGCTACAGTTAGCAGGTAAAATGGTTTAAAATGAGGCTAAATCAGTTATAAGTTGCTACAGTTGGCAGGTAAAATGTTCTATAATTAAGCTAAATCAGTTATAAGTTTCTACAGTTAGCAGGTAAATGGTTTAGGCTGAGGCTAAATCAGTTATAAGTTGCTACAGTTAGCAGGTAAATGGTTTAGAATGAAGCTAAATCAGTCATAAGTTGCTACAGTTAGCAGGTAAAATGGTTTAAGATTTAACTAGTTGCTACAGTTAGCAGGTAAAATGGTTTAAAATGAGGCTAAATCAGTTATAAGTTGCTACAGTTGGCAGGTAAAATGTTCTATAATTAAGCTAAATCAGTTATAAGTTTCTACAGTTAGCAGGTAAATGGTTTAGGCTGAGGCTAAATCAGTTATAAGTTGCTACAGTTAGCAGGTAAATGGTTTAGAATGAAGCTAAATCAGTTATAAGTTGCTACAGTTAGCAGGTAAATGGTTTAGGCTGAGGCTAAATCAGTTATGAGTTGCTACAGTTTGCAGGTAAAATGGTTTAAGATTTAACTAGTTGCTACAGTTAGCAGGTAAATGGTTTAGGATGAAGCTAGTTGCTACAGTTAGCAGGTAAATGGTTTAGGATGAAGCTGAATCAGTTATAAGTTACTACAGTTAGCAGGTAAATGGTTTAAGATTTAACTAGTTGCTACAGTTAGCAGGTAAATGGTTTAGGCTGAAGCTCAGCCAGTGTTCGGTCATCAGTGGAGCCCGTGCTACCTCTGAGTTCCTGTTTCTGCTGTTTCTGCTGTTTCTGCCTCAGGAGCAGACCACCTTCATCTGCGTGTGCATCGCCGAGTTCCTGTCGCTGTACGAGACGGAGCGGCTGATCCAGGAGCTGGCCAAGTGTCGCATCGACACGCACAACATCATCGTCAACCAGCTGGTGTTCCCCGACAACGAGAGGCCCTGCAAAATGTGCGAGGCCCGCCACAAAATCCAGTCCAAGTACCTGGACCAGGTGGGTCTCCACACCCCTCCCACCTCATTCAGACTCCTCAGGGTTCCTGTTGGTCTCTAATAGGGTTTTCACGATACTAAAATGTTCAACTCGATACCGATACTCAGGAAAATACTCGATACTCGATACCATTTTCGATACCACAAGGATAAAAACAAAGACCCTTAAATTTAACTGAATTTTGACAGGTTAGTGTCTTTCATTTCAAACTGACCTGTTACTGATGTTATTGTGACTGGTGGCCTGCATTAATGACCATAACCCTGACCCAACAGCCTTAATAATTGTGAGGAATAAATATTTTTTGTTTGGAATTATTCTACAAACGTATTTAACATTGCGCTATTTTAACATAATATATATAGAGTTTAATTAAGTGTTTGAAAGATTAATTTCACTATTTTTAAATTAATGTCTATATTGCTATGAGGCATTACCATTTTCTTGCCTGGGATCTCCCTATTGGTGACTTGGATGTGGGCGGAGTTGGATATGTACTTGATTAATGGTAGCACGTTATTATTAGCCATTAGCTGAAGCTAGCAGTTCAAGGCTAACGTCTTGTTAATTACCATAAACAACCTAAAAAAATACATAAATAAATCAGGGGGAAGGGGGGGGGGGTGGTATCGATACTTTTGAAAATGAGTATCATATCCGGATACAACATTTTAGTATCGATACTTTTGACAACCCTAGTCTCTAATGTGGTTTCTCCCCCAGATGGAGGACCTGTACGAGGACTTCCACATAGTCAAGCTGCCGCTGCTGCCCCACGAGGTCCGGGGCGCCGACAAGGTCAACACCTTCTCCAAGCAGCTCCTGGAGCCCTACAAGCCTCCGAACAAGTGATCCCCCCCCCCCCCCGACCACCTGCAGGACCTCATCCCGATCCAAACCCCCCCAGCAGTCTTAACATCCTCCTCTGAGCTCCTCCAGCCCTCCATCAGCAACCTGAAGGCACCTCCTCCATCACAGCCAGTCGCACACACACACACACACACACACACACACACACACACACAC